CATGCGGGGACGCCGTAAATTTTTTTTTTGTTTTGTTTTGTTTTTGTGCGTCGCCGTCCCCGATACTCAGGTACATATTTCAAACCTCTCAATGTGTTAGAGCTGCAAGCCTTACAGTTACTTCAAGAGTGCCCAAAAGTAGATCCCACATTGCAAAGCTACGCCTGTGGATGTATTTACTTTTAGGGTGGACAGCACTTTCTCCACTGTTTTTGCCCTAGCAGTGGCTAGCTTTCCACTCCTGTGACGATGGAAATTATCCTTAGTTCTATTGCCTCCAACGTGTCCGGGTAAACAAGGATACATAGACCATGTCTTTTTAGGCACCTTTTAGAAGTTCACTAACTGACTTTTGTCCCCACAGGGAGAAGCTCCTTTTCAATCAAAAAGGGGCCAAATTTATGTCCATAACATTTGTTCATCTACTCCCTGGCTACTGGTAGTAGAAAACGCTAAATATAAAAATAGCCCGAATGCCGTTCGAATGCTAATTAGCACTCCCTTATCCGACAGGCTTAAAGGTATGTTTCTACCTGAAAATATATCAGGGAAGTTGTTTAATTGCTAATTAACTGCTGATTCAATTCCGGGAGTAGAAGGGTTGCGATGGTCAAGGTTGTCCTATTTGTTTAGAAGAGGCCAGCGGCAGCTGGACACCTTTTTCTGGAAAAATAGTAGCTTGATATACTACATTTTCCGAAGTGCAAATACCTCCAACTGAACAGTCAGCTTTGACCCTTTGACAAGGAGGTTTATTTCCCTGTGATTCACTGCTATGAATTTTTTTAAGAGGATGTTATTGTGGGAACTAATTATACTTTCTACATTATTAACACACGAGTAACTAGTTTTTAAAGTTTTCCTATTGAATTTTTCTTCAAAGAATTGTTATTATTAAAACGCTTGTCTATTAAATTTAAGAAATATTTACCAATATTAATACTGGATAACTTACAGAAAGGTGAGGTTAAAACCATATTATCTTCCTGCTTTTAGATTTGATGTATTATTTTTCAAATTTTCTTGATAATTAAATTCTCGTTTAAAATTACTATTTTTAAGGGTATTATTACAGGTGGCTTTATTTTCATTAAAGATTTTGCTGATAGATGATAATCTGTTGATCCTAGTATTAACAGAGGAATTTGGTTTATTATTGACTTAGAGTGATTAGAGTAGACGTTGATATAAATGGGGGTTTAATTCTCTTTGTGAAAAGGTTTGAATGTATCATTAGAAAGATCGAAGGTAGTCTAAGAAATTTGATGTTGGAAGATATTTCAATCTTAAATCCTAGAAATTGGAAAGCTTTTATGATCTTTTTTTGGAAGATAGAGGACCATTACTATTAGGAATAACAATAAGTACATCATCTCTTTGTAAAGACTTTCTTGGTTGGGGTCAATAATCCTACTGAGAGTGTCGAAGATATATATATCTACTAAGTAATATGTCTTCTGAAATGGAGGGGTAGAAATCAATAATGTCAAATCGAATAAATATGTGTGTGTGTGTGTGTGTGTGTGTGTGTGTGTGTGTGTGTGTGTGTGTGTGTGTGTGTGTGTGTGTTTCTGTTTCTTTGGGAGGGTGGAAATAAAATGTGTACATTAAAATTATATAGCATTATTTGTTTTTGGTTTTGTCGACCGTAGTAGGGTCAGTTGTCTTGGGTCAAGATGGTGGCTGCTTGAAGACCCTATATCTAGCAACAGGACTCTGCATCATGCCACACAAGAAAGAGAACCTAGTCATAGTTGTCAGACAATTTCTGCGACCACATCACCCCTATGGCCACTTATCTCCCCAGACTGCAATATATGTGGGGTGCAGTGAGAGCGAAAGACCAGCAAAACTCCTTGTAACACCAAAAATGAACTGAAAGCAAGGATTATGGAAGCATTCACCAACAAGTAAACAAGGAGACTGCCCAGAAGAATTGCAGGAGATTCCGAAGTCATATAGAGGCCATGGTTGAAGCCAATGGCGATTTTATTTAATAAATTTACTCTTGAATATTTCAAGATATTTTTGTGTAACTTTGGTAAATATATATGTTAAAATGAGATGCCAGTTTTATTTTCATTTTTTCTTTAGTAATTTAGACGACAATTTATCCAGAACACCCTGTACACACACACATACACACACACACTTTTATATATATATATATATATATATATATATATATATATATATATGAATTTAGGTAAAAATGGCAGGGTAAAAAATGGCAACGGTAAAAATGGCAACGGTTAAAATAGCAAAAAGTGGATAAATAGGTAAAAATGGCAACGGTAAAAATGGCAAAAATGGATAAAAATGAAAAAATGGCAAAAGGAAAAAAATATAGATGAATATCTCACAATGAGTTTATTAAAATCTTGGATACAATACATAATGGAAAAACATGAGAAGTTTGTCAAATTAAAAAGAATATTCAGCTAAAGCTCCCCCCTCCCATGAGATTTTACTTTTTAGGCGATTACGTCTGAACACACTGAAGAACTTGGGAAAAAACAATTATAGGTCCACTTGATGACGGCTTCCAGTATTAAAATCAGAAACCGACATTAAGCGGTGTTTATCGGAAAACAGTTCCTCGTCAGTTTTGTACATTTAGAGTGTTTTTTATTTTTTTTAATTTCACTAGTTTGAACACGTGGGAATCAGTAATGCAGTCGAATAAAAAAACAATATATTGGATACATTATTACGATGACGTTTAATATATTTAAATTTTGTTACATTTCTATTTATAAAAAAAAACTATTAGACTATTTAAAAAATAGAATAGTATTTAAAAATGTTTTCAATATAAACTATTTAAAAAGTATTTTCAGACAAAAACAAAACATTGCAATTATAAAAAATAATAAATAAACTATTTAAAAAATATTTTTAAAAAAAACATTCATATCATAAAAAAGTTTTATTTGATTATTTGTAAGAAAAACATTCCAATTAAAAAAAAAACATTTTATTTGAATGGGATTCTAACTTTATGATTTTTCCGATTCACCGATTCCGATTAATCGTCCCAACACTAATATATATATATATATATATATATATATATATATATATATATACACTAATACACTTATTATATATATATATATATATATATATATACACACACATTTAATACACTTATTTTATATATATATATAAATATATATATACACACATTAATACATTATATATACACTAATACACTTATTTTATATATATATATATATATTTTATTTTATATATATAAACACTAATACACTTATTATATATATATATATATATATATATATATATATACACACACACACACATCTAATCCTAATGTCAGCTATCAATTATAAAATTAATTATAATCATCAAATTCACTTAAACACGCTACGATTTGTGCTTTTACTGCAATTAGGAGTAGGAACCTAGCCCCCACCCAATAAAACTTCTAAAAATCGACATCGAAAATTTAAAAAAAATGTTTTTAATACTAAAAGCTGGAACTTAGCCCCTATTTAAAACAAGAGGAGAAGGAGCCTAGCTCCACCCACCCCCACTAGAGTAAATATCTATTTAAAAATATTTATTTTAAAATATTGAGGGCGGGGGGACTTAGCCCTATTTTAAACTAGAGGGATAGGGGCATAGACCCATCCTTCTCGAACGGCCATAATTTTCTGTTGTCGAATTGTCATTTTTTCCTATTTATCCACTTTTGCCATTTTTACCGTCGCCACTTTTTTACCCTGCCATTTTTATCCTGCCATTTTTACCGAGCACCATATATATATATATATATATATATATATATATATATATATATATGACGAAATTCAAAGTTTCTACGTGTGGATATTAACGCATATTCGTATCATATATGCGTGTGTGTGCGCGTGTGCGTATGTGTTTGTGTTCAGAAATTTCTAGATAAAATACAGTTATATTATATGAACATCACAAATTTTCCGAGGACATGAATGTACTGACTGTTATGACGGTGTGACACGATTATGTTAGAGCCCACCTTTAAAATCAGCGTTTGAAATCCTGGGCTAACACTATGACTACAGTGACTGGAGGGATTATATGTTTTCAAAGATCAGATAGATAGATAGATAGATAGAATAGATAGATAGATAGATAGATAGATAAAAGGTTCATAAGTTTTCCATACTGAAAGAATAGGGACTTGAATGTAGTAGTTGCTAAGATAACTGTAGAAATTAAAATGTTGACTTTTTAGTTAAAACTGTTCATGCTGACATAAACATACTTAATTTGTTATTATGATTCTAGATATCCACTAAGTTTAGCCACACACTTATCTCTGTCAGTCTATTTACAATACCTTAAAATCTATAATAATATCTTATCGGAATATATGCCATTCTGTCTTTTTTCTTATTCAAGAACAGACTCTCTTTTTCTCTTTCTTACCCCCTCTTACTCTTTCTCGTTGTTGCTCATTATCACCATGTTCAATCATTTTTCATATATCTGCACATACAGGCCTACTCACTCTCTCAGTCAATTTTTCTCTCTGTTGTGCAAATTTACATATGCTGTTTCACACAAAGAAAGATAGATACAAACTAGAGACGAACATGGACACTCTAACACACAAGTGATATTTCTATAAATTTCAACAAATAGAAGGCAACAAAAAAGGGAGGGAGGAGAAAATATTTTGGGCTCAGCGCTCGCGAGAAAGCATCATTAGCAGTCAGTCGGTTCGTGAGTTGGGAGAAAAGCAAGAGAAAGAACTCGTAAAAACTATCAGTGAGTAATGATAAAAAGAAAACGTTTATAAAATTCACATAGCTTATTAAAAACAACATACTTTAATGAGAAAGAAAAAGAAAGGCCAACTTTAAGCTGTAAACAGTTTTTAAGTCGGGAAAGATTCTGGCAAAACCAACGACGTCGGTGGAAGGGTCCGAAGAACAAGGACAACATAGTACAAGAAGTAAGAGAGAAAGAAAAAAGTATCTAAAACAGTTATGGACCTAAACAGGTGCGAGCGTCTGTGGCTACTACTACTACTATTGGTTAGCATCACCTGTGGAGTATGTGTCGGCCAAGCCCCACTACGGCCACAGGAAGCAATAGAAAAGTAAGTTGTTAAAGTTATTTTTTCTTTCTCATTATAAATTGTGATTTGATTAATATCAGCTTTTACACATATGAATTTCTTTTTTTTAATCTGATTTCGCTTACTGAATTAAAATTTTATTTAGTTAAAAAGTTATTGCTTTTTTAAAGCAACGAAGCATGAGTCTGTGTGATTGTATTGTTGCGAATTTCTCTTTAACTTAAAAGGAAATTCTTATTTGAAATCAATGTGGGATGTTGTAAATGCGAGATAAAAATTTAGGAAGATTTCGAGACTATAAAAATATTTCTAATTTATATTTTTTCTACTCGGGTGAAATTCAGCAATCGAAACATAATGGTTTACGTTTCCTTTTTATTTCTTTTATTTCCAAAGACAAAAATATAAATAAAATGGAATAAATAAAATCCAATTCGATTATTGTTCATTCTATAATCCTCCTAAGTAAAAATTAGCACTAATCTATAAATCTTTGTCCTGCATTTCTGACGCAATGTCACAGACAAAATGGTTCGGCCATTCATTCTAAATATGGTTTGTTCTGTTTACGTGAATCTATATGTGCCTATTGTGCACTGGTCGACAGGATTAAATTAAATTTATATTAAATCTAAATCTGAACAAATCATTCGAAACTTTTTATCACCAACATTTTTTTCTAAATTTACGCCATTATATTTCAAAAGTTCAAATGCCAAATTATCAGTGGTTTAAATCTATAATGACTTTTATTTTCACGGGTATGGAGTTATTACTCCAACCTAAATAATTGTTTTGTTATTATCTCAATTTTCATTGGTTCTTGAAGTTCCCACCTTCAAATGCAATTAAGCAATAATTGGTTCCTGTTCTAAAACTTGTGTATACTGATCTGATTAAAAGGCCATAACAAGTAACAGAACTTGAATATGTAATCTTGAATAGCATTTCGAGCATTTTGACTTATATAAATAAGTCACGTTTCGATATTTTCAGATTTGCCTTCATCAATATATTCATCAGTAGTTAAGTTACACAGTAACGGAATTCAGTATAAGAAATTAAAATGTGTTCTCCAATGAAATAACAGTTTTTTATTTTAACAGCAGTGCACAATACATTTAAGAAAAATTAGGTGTAAATATGGCTTTTGCCGTAGTTTCATCTCTATTTAGTCTTCTTATCTAAAATTTTAGAATGACGAATAAACTTTCAGCCGACAATCAAATGTACAGAACCACGCCTATTTATGTTTTTCTTGGCGTGTTTCGTTGATAAGATGTTATGAGATTACAGTGATCATGTAAAAATCAAAAATTTTGCATGATAATTTACAAGGCAGGTGGATCGACTCTATTTAACAGATTAGCGCAACACAATCTCTTAACTTCATTTCCCCATATACAAGGTATTTGTCCCTCAAAGTGAGTGGTCGTGCAAAAACAGGCAAGTGAGCGCATAAATTCATTTTAATTAAGGGCAAACTTAGTGGCAAGTGTTAAAGCTATTTCTTAAGACTCATCCGTGGGTTTGGCGCAAATAAAAATGAATGCCAGAAAAGTATTTTATTGAAAAGATTAAAAGCGATCTCGTCTCTGAGTATATCGATCTGGAGAGAGAGAGAGCTATTTGGATGAAATACACTAAAATTCAAAACCTCATATCAATAACTATATTACGATTTCAATATGAACCGTAAGACCGATTTGACAAGCAAAAAGTAATGTTTAATATCTTCCGAGTTTTCAAAATGTAAAACAACGCTGGAAATTGAACAGGTGATTAGCAGGTATCGCCTAACTTCCTTAATTATTCTGGGCAACTCCGATGCAGGTCTGATTAGTTGAGAATTCTATCTTGCCTATGTCCCGCATAGACATTTTAGGCATTGTGAGGAAGTGTCGAAAAGCGCAAGATGTCGAGATATAGATCAATTAAGATGATGATCGCGAGACCAACTTTCAAAAGGCACGGCTATGGAACATCTAATTACATGGACAACAAAACGCATTAAGAGATTTTTCAACCGTTCAGTCGACGGATACAATGGTCAGGTGAGACATGACCAAGGCAGAGGTGGTGTGATAATGGTGCAATAGAATTATAGATGTTGAAATGGTGGACATGTGACGTATGTATTGGCCAATTCCTTTTTTGCTTGACCAGAACGCAGTAAAACTTATGGAACATTCTGAAGAGGAATGGCTGATGATAATTCAATAGTCAAGATTAATTTTTGAATTTTTTACTTAATCCTGTATAGACTGTTATGACAAAAGACAACAATTCACAAAATTAACGTAATAGCAACTTTTAAAAATTTAAAAATTTTAAATGTATTGTTCATGTTCTGAGACAGAGCATGAACAATACATTTAAAATTAATATTTCATAACTTTGCCGCCATTACATCTTAAAAAAACATTTATTTTTGTACACTTTACTCACTTTACTAATTATTTCTATAATTTTTAAATAGAAATTAATGTTGTTTCAGTAACCTGGCTAAGATTATGAATATTGACAAATACGGTAAAATATATAAAATTGTTGACACATTCTATGTGTAATATGTTGTCTAATATAATTTATACATATTATCTGAAGTATTCTGCTCCTTAATAATGCAAAAATGTCCGTAAATCCATTTATTATCTTTCTAAGAATTAGGAAAAATTAAAAGTGGCTAATAATGTCAATTATATGAAACGCAGTGTGTGTGTGCGTGTGCGTGTCTATGTGTGTATGCCTGCGTGTGTGTGCGCGTGTGTGACCATGTTTATCTCTGTAAAATATAAAATGGGCATCTTACTCTTTGTTAAAATATCTGTAAAAGATTTCAAACGTTCTTTTAAATCCGTGCAATTTGTCTGTTTTCATTTAGAGAAACTGAGCAACTATGAAACACTTTGAAATCAAAGAAACACACTATCTCACTTAGTTCAGCCATTGAAAAATGAATTGCATAGCATATATATTCCGAATATTCTGAATAATATAACATATATTCCGTTAACGTCAAGAAAATGATTGTTGATTATTCTGTTTTAATGGCGTTTTAATAGTGGAAGTTTTTTTTTAAACAATCCTTCGGGATCAATTTCTTATAAAAAGGTAGATGAACTAGATTGAGTAAAAGTAATAAGGAAAATTTATTATAGCAAAATATAACAGCAATTCAAAGGATAAATGAACATCATTGATTTTATATTTGGTAGTACATAGCATCATTAACTCAGGATCGACGATCTTCCGAACTTACACCATTCAGTGCTTTCTCAAATAAGGTGTATGTAAGCGAATATTATTGACATTGACAAAGGAGCTAACCGGTCAGCAAACGATATTCGCATACTAATAGCTAAATGATTTTCCTGCTATTACACCACGTCGAAGTGCCCAGAATTTGCTAACAAATAGCATTTAACATAAAATATATTTAATTTGCTTAACAGTTTTAAATATATATTTTCAAAAATAGTTCAGTTGTGCAAATTTTTTATTGCAAATTTTAAAATTTACGATATATAACTTAAGCAATATTTGTGTTGAAAAACAAACATTGTTTATAATATAGCGAGTTTTAAAATTTGTTCATTTTTCAATTCATCGTGTTTCCATAGAAAGAATTTATTTCTACCTTGTTAAAATTCAGTCGTGTGTTATCAAAAATGACATAATAGCAAATTTATTTTTTGAATTCTTACGAACAAAGTCTGATTGTTAAGGATAATTCAGTACATAGTGGATCTTTCAAGTAATTCACTGCCTACATTTATACAATGTTTTGCGCCAATGAAAGAGACAACATATATGTAATAAGCAACAATCACCAGTTCCAAAATGCTCTTGATAAATTAGTTTCTTAAATTTCAGTTTATATAAGTTAATTATTGCTAAATTACACTACCTACAAGATCAGTGACGTTTTTAATTACCAAAAGAGAAACCTGTTTTGCATTTGTTAAAGTTGTTCTGACAGAGATCGCTAGTAAGAAAAGAAATGCAAAAAGTGCAGCAAACTGAAACACAACTGATCAGTGTTTCAATCTTGGTAAACAGATCAAATATGAGAGTGCTGATACATTTGTTTCATATTCGTTTCACCAAAATCTACAATATTTCAATAATATAAATATTAATTTCCTTTTCTTCTCCCACCCTCAAAAAGATAATCGATGCTGTCATCTATCTTAAAAACTACAAAATTGTATCATTTAAAGAACGCTTATGTCTAAAAATAAATAAATAAATAAAATTTTTTAAAAAGTAACTAGAGAGACGAGCCTGGAATTGGGCCAGGCAGTTTGGTGGCGTTTGCCATTGAAATGAAGATTCTCCTTAAAAAAAAAAATAAGTAAAATAACCACAGAATTTTTGGGAGCATTTACACGGTTGTATATCTAAGTGTAATTTGTTAAAGGCGTCTCACTTGTGCGTACAACTTGAAAGTTAAGTGGTTTTTGCTTCAATAACTGATGACACGTTGGAGAAGTAAAATTGTTGTTTTGATCAGAAGGATAAATTGATTTTATAATTTCTAATTCCGTCTAACTAAAATTAGTAACTCAAATTCTGGTGCGGAATTTTTCTTAATCTTCAAAAATGTATAAACTGAAAGTTGTACAGAAAAGAATTTTGCTAGTCATTTTATGCCAGTAACTAAAAGTTAGAGGAAAGAAATACCAGTAAAAAAATACATGTTAGACAAATGCTTGCTTATTAAATGATGAGCTTTACAGCCGCGAACGAATTTATGCTAATAAATTTCACCCATTCAAGCAACTGGAGAAGAAATTGAAAACTTGCTAGTCTTTCACTGAATCACTGATTCATACGCGTAAGTGTCTGTGTATGGGTGGGGTTGTGTGCTAGTTGAGGAAAAGGAGGGAGAAAATAAGAAACGTTTTCTCCTCTTCGACCGAAGTGAGCCATAACGTCAACTGATTTTGTATCTGTTGTAATATTTAGGATGATAGAATATACCAATCTCTCTCTCCTTCTCTCTGTCCCCAAATGAA